CACACACACACACACACACACACAATATATATATATATATATATATATATATATATATATATATATATATATATATATATATATATATATATACATATATATATATATACATACAAATAGTTTATAGTACACATTATCATTCACCTACCCACTTATTATCGTTCAGCATTCATCCGTTGGGAGAAAGACGAGCGCCAGGCTATCCAACTCATGCTAGCAACACAGGGCAGCAGTCCCGAGACTCCCACCACAACCACAATCACACCAACAACCACAGCCCCCGCTATTATCACACATGGGATATTAAGCATCACGCTGGTAAAAGCGCGCGAAATAATGGGCAGGCAGGGCAAGAACAAAAGTGATCCGTTTTGTTTGTTCGAGTTGAGTACGGGAGAACAGAGACACTCTACGAGCCAAATGAAGACGTCGTATCCACAGTGGAATGAGGAGTTTACGTACAAGATCAAAGCCAGAGATACGGACAAACCGTTCAGTTTGAAGGTGTGCGATAATCTGTAGTAAGGAATGATTTATACAGTGTGATTTGGTATATATATATTTATTTATATATTTATATATTCTGAAGGATGGGCTGTACGCTCTGGTTCCTTTAACATCTTTCGGCCAAGATGTGGCGTCTATTTATAAGGCCATCTTAGATCTAATCTGAGCCAAAATAGTGAGGTTCAATTTGATCTCCATCGGTTGATTCTGTAATTTTACCCGATTGCCTATGTGCTATAATCAGGTTGATATATACAACACCAAGCTTGGAATGATACATGGCTTCCTCAGTACGAAGAAAACCGAAAGCGACAAACTTTTAACCTACTGCATTCCGTAGAAGTCGATTTTAACAGCAGGCGTTTCTGATTGGCCTATTTTATCTCAGGTGTCGGTGTGGAACCACGGGGCGAATGCTGAAGAGATCAATACGCACCACACCATCACGCGTGGGTTCAGGAAGTACATTGACAGCGACGCATTCCTGGGTCAGTTGAGTATAGATGAAATACGGCCAGTCGACTATGAGAGCCCTAAGGAACAATGGTAGG